TTGGGCAGGAAGAATGCTTGTCGGATATGTTCCATAGTGTTTGTGAAGGAGAGCGAGTGCTTGAAGCATGAACAAACCCACAAAGAATACAGCAAGGATGATGCCGTGCCTGATACGGTGTGGAAGAAGAAGAAATACAGAAAAAGTCAGAAGATAGAACCTGCTCCAGGCATGTCAACGGAGGTCCCGGGAGAAGTAAAGACAATCAGTGAAAGCAATGTGGGTGCAAGGGCTGCTCCCAGGAAGAAGGCTTTCAAGGGAAAGCCGGCTCCAGAGGAACCCAAAGACATGCTTGGTAAGACACTCACGTACTACAACAGACCCAGACCTTACAAGTGTCGACACTGTCCTAGGCGCTACAGATCAAGAATGGCAGCCTATGAGCATGAGAAGGAGACACATGAAGGCAAGGGATCATTCAAGTGTAACCTGTGCCCTCGTGTCTTCATGAAAGAAAGCAACTTCTTTCAACATTACCAGTGTCACGAGCAGAACCGTCTCTACCGCTGCTCGCTCTGTCCGCGAACCTTTGCGTCCGATAGCGCCCTCACCAATCACCAAGGGGAACATACGGGCCTCAAACCGTTCAAGTGTGAGATTTGCGGAAAGGGATTCCGTATCCGCAAATGGGTGTGTGCTCATAAACGCAGGATGCATCAGACTCGAGAGCTGCGCTACTTCTGCTCCTTCTGCAACAAAGGATTCACGGACAAAGGACCGCTTCAGAAGCATGAGCTTCGTCACAAGGGCATCCGACCGTTCGTCTGCATGATCTGTGGCAAGGGGTTTGGAGTGAAGTACGTCCTGGAGGTTCACATGCAGAGTGTGCACTCCGGGGAGAAGAAGTATGATTGTGAAGTTTGCGGGAAGAAGTTTTCATTGAATCAGCATTACGTGACTCACATGTTTAAACACAGAGCACAAGGAGAAGACATTCCAGGAGCATCTAACGTCCAGGACACTGAGGAGGGTCAGCAAGGTTAAAGGTCATCTTCAAGTCTGCATGGGCAGTTCCATGTTAAAGCCGCACTGCACTACTTATAGCAACTTGCGCCCTCTATATAGCAAACAATGCCTAATCGGTGACCATTGGTCCCCCATGGTCCTCTTTTTCTTAAGTTAATTGAGAGCTGATTTGATGAGATAATCACCTGTCATTGACCATGCAGGGAGGTCTAATCCCTCCTGGCCGAACTAGTGCAGTGGGGCTTTAATGGACAGTTTTGCTTGTCGTCCAAACATCAATCAATTTCATTAATGATAATTTAGATCAACCCTGTGGGAAACTCAGCTCATACACAGGGAAGAAAACTTCTATATTGTAACATTCTGCACTTGTAAACAGTATTCAAATTTGTTAATTGTATGATATACATGTATGTATTTATTTATTCATGTAATTTGAGCTATATCGATATGTGTTTAGTGCTTGCCAATTCAGAGAGAGACTCCATCATGTAGTTACTTTAAATTTGCTCATGTGTGGGTATATAGAGGGCAGCACATAGACGTACACACAAGAGCGTAATACCCATTGGCTCTGTGTTATGTAGTGATCGCCAAATTGCTTACTTCACGAACGACTATATACCCACGCATGAACATCTTTAAAGGTTATTACGTCCAGATTCTTGATAATTGTAATTTCAGAGCATTTGGAAGTTGGGTCTCAAATTCTTTATCATGTCATTGTAGTAAGAGTTTTACTATGTGTACTTGTGTTGAAGAGATTATGTTTAGAGTATGAGGGAGACGTTGCCTTTCTTGCCAATTTATGTGCCAAATTGATAGTAATACAATAACACCTGTTTTAGCAAACACCTGTACTGATATAAACCACTTGCCTATAAAGACCACTCGCTCACTTCCCTCTCTCTGTCTATCTCCTCCTCTCACATTCATACACACACACACACACACACACACACACGTACACGTTTCTGGTGTTTGTTTGTTTGATTGATTTTTTTTCTGCGTTCATATAACAAATACAAGGTTATACATTTTTACATAAGTATTACATAATAGCAAATCACGTTTAATAATATTATACAATAACCATAATACAAGCATACAAACAAGTGTAATGGATATTTGTACAGTATATATATATATTTTTCATTGAACTAAAGAGATAAATTTCAGTACGCAGGAGACCACCATCGTTAGCGGTTAGGCGTAAATTGAGGGTTGGATTTAACACATCAGTGTGTCATTACATGTTAGAGGACACACATTCTTTCTAAAAATGAAATGTTGTGCGGACGATTTGAAAATGTACTGTATAACCAAGGACTTACTTGTACCTTTTCCTTGCAAATGGAGCACCTAAATAAACTAACATGTATATGGAAGCGCATCGATTTCAAACAATTTACAGGGGTTCTCGAACCGAGGACATCCTGGTTTTGTGAGTGGTCTCCTAAGAGAAGGTACAGTACTTATGAGTGTCCTCTATACCCACGCATCTGCCCTGCCCCCCACACACACACATACGTTCTCCTTTTTTTATCTGTCTCATGCAAAGACTTGAAACAAAAAACATTAACATGTACCACATTTAAGGGATATTTTATTGAAGAAAATACAAAGTCATGTATGTGCGATTCCATTCTTTGCTCGAAGTAAAAGTGTACTTTAACCTTTAACACTTTAGACAGAATAATTTTGCAAAATTCATCAGTGTATTTGTATGTTTTTTAAAATTTCTATTGGAATGTGTTAATTGTGCAAGTGACAGTCTTGTATTGCGTACACTAGATTTCATGCATTGTGTATTCAGAGCAAATTTCTAGACTTAGTAAATTTGAGTGATTTTGATGTCAGTGTATGGTTAAAGATAAAGACCAGTTATGGTCATGCGATTGCATTGTGAAAGAAATTTGGCCCAGTCTTGGTAAAGTTACAAGCACTGTATATGGGACTACGCGACACGTGCGAGACACATGCGTTATATCTATCAGGTCCAAATAGATATAATAATGTACCTAACAAATATATCACTTAGTAGGCAGTTTCTCGGCAAAATTTGTATCATCACGTATTAGTCAAAACATATTCTTTCACATGATTGGTAATAAGAGCTTTCATTTTATATTTTGAGAGGGGGGCGTTTCCAAAACTGGTCTTTACCTTTAATCTCACACTTGTTTCCATGCAGTACAAATGTGAATCTTTTATCATGTGGAATTTATAAATTGGAGTACATGTATACCTGTATGTAGCCAGCAAAATCATGACACAGTCATTGGAAATGCAAATAGCTAATCATGTTTATTACAAGCAAATTAGTAAATGTGGCAGATTTGTATTTCAGATATACGTAGTGGAAAATCTAGAAATATGACTCCAAAATGATCATCTGTACTAGCATCATCATTGTGATATGTATGTAGGCCAAATGGAAAAATGATTTGATGAGGTACCTTTGAAAGATTTTCCTGCAAGATGTGTTTAGCATAAGGTCTTCAGACATGATAGATATGAATGTTATTTGTACCTGGAATGAGTTCACTTTTTTTGTTTGAATAATATTGCTTCAATTTGTCTTGCAAATTATTAACAAATGGACAATAAAATGTGAAACTTATTGCATCTCCTCTAAACATTAATTTCTAATTGTATATTCAGTTCTGTGAGTTGTGACCTAGCTTTTTGCTGTGGCTAGCAATATTCACTATGAACATGACTGACAAAGAAAGCGGACAAAATATACAGTTCCTCAGGTAGACAAAGGAACATCCCTTCACTGCTATTATGTAAAAAGGTGAATATGCATGTGACACCTGTTCTACACATTTTTACATAATAGCAGTGAAGGGATGTTTCTTTGTCGACCTGAGGAACTGTATATTTTGTCCGCTTTCTTTGTCAGTCATGTTCATAGTGATTGTTGGCCCTGTTTAGAAGCCTTAATGAATGATTTGCATGGTAACAAAAAAGGTGTGGGTGACGAAGGCATTTGCTAATCCTCCCCCCCCCCCCCCCCAACACAAAAAAAGCCCCCAAATAAGGGAGAGAGAGAGAGAGAAAAGAAAGAAAATGCAAAAATCATGCATGTAACAAGTGTAATGTACAGAACAATATAAAGACCCTGCCTGCATATTATTTCAAATCTTCTGTTTTAGGAGGAATATAATAACGATAAAGACGGTGCTTATAAAGCGCTTCCCACCGAAGTCTCTATAAGCGCAAAATATCTCAAAATACTGTACATGTAACAATTAACACTCTCAAAAATAAATACCTGCTGTGTATGTGGTACGTGAGAGAAAGAGAGAAAAGAGGCGAGAGAGAAATGGAGAGAAACTAAGAGAGAAGGAGATGAATGAGAATATAAAGTGAGACAGAGAGAGAGAAATGGAGAGAAACTAAGAGAGAAGGAGATGAATGAGAATATAAAGTGAGACAGAGAGAGAGAAATGGAGAGAAACTGAGACACGGAGACAGAGAAAGATGTGGGGGGGGGGGTAAAGGCCTGCTAACTTCTGTTTTTGTATACGGTACAATGTATCTCCGACGAATGGAGAAAAAAAGAATATATTACACAATGTACTATATATACAACGGGAGAACAGGTTGAACTGGAGAAATGGAACACGTACCTCATCTTACTGAAAAGTGAATACAGTTCATACATTTGATTTAAACCTTCAAAATGTCTTACAGGTAAAAAAAAAAAAAAATGAATTAAACAGCAATACATTTAGAATTAACAATGAATCACAAAAAAACTTGATTTACTCAAAATGTGGGCGTTGCCCGTTGCCTATATTTCAATTTGTTTCTGCACCATAAATATGTCCATTAAATCATTAATTCGTGATTACACAGATAAAATATGTAGTCAAGTTACAGCCAGGAAAGAAATGTTGAACAAATATTGCAACGAAAAGTCATTTTTATGTCATTTCAAACATTGTCAAATAAATTGATATCATTTTACATGACAGTTGACACTCAAGTCCCAATTTACAGCGGGAGAGCGCCATCTCATGACGTAAATCATATAGTTTACTGGTTCTTCTTTTTTTTACAACTTGAGGTCACTGGAAATTGTTTGATTATGGAAGAAATTGGCATTGTTGTTACGCCTAAAAGGGTATGTATAGGAATTAGATGTTATTTAGATATGTGATTAAGATATTAGTTTCATTAAAAAATTCAAGTCGACGGATTAAATGTCGTTTTAGGGGCAAAATATATGAACGAACATTTGTATGACAAAGCAATATTTCACTTTACTTCAGAGTTCAGTCCCATGCGTTTAAATTTATGATGGGGGTGCAGGTGATACTAGCACTCGGGTTCTTGCTGGAACTTGGATTCAAGTTCTTGTCTTGTCATGTCTTTAGAGTCTATATCTACTAGCTAGGTGATGGTGTGAAGTATGATATTGATATTACCTAGCCTGAATTGGCACCCATAACCATCGGGGGCCACCCCCAGAATTCTAAAACTATCTTGGTCAAAACAGCGATTGAAATGTTGTTTGCATCCTAGCTCCAAAATTTGCCACTTTCCTGAGCTGCCGCCCCGCGGCTTAAGCAGGGCTAGACGTAAGGATAATATCCAGATGCTTTTTTTTTCGCTAGCCCCAAGGGATCATTTGTTATAACAGTTTGAAAATACCCTTCCCACATTTTTGGAATCAGCTAATTAGGGAGGCGTGAGCTCCGCTCAGTCCAAACCATGGTTACATTGCGTAACATGTGCGCTTATAGTGAATGAAAGTATGGGTGGCCGTTCCCGCCATAGAACCCGGAAGTGAATACACGTTATAGTCAATGGCAATATCGCGGAGACATCTCCGCGATATTGCCATTGACTATAACGTGCATTCACTTCCGGGTTTTTTGTGCGACGAACGCCAACCATACTAGTCAATGGCACATGTCGCGGAGACAGCGTAGCTCAAGCTGCAAGTCGCGGATTGGCTTAGCAGCATGCGTACGATATGCATACGCTTGCATATCGCGCGATACAGCTGTTTGGCTAAATTTAGCAAAACAACATCACTCTGCGTGGACGTCTTTTTCGTCGATTTTGACCAAAATGATATGAATATACCAGCGTTTTGGAGGGGCTGTTACTTTTGATAGAAACATCGGTGAGACTTGAAATTTGAAATGTATTATTCTGATATCATTTTTTATTCAAATATCAAACAAAAATGGTGAAAAACGATCCCAAATTGAAAATTGAAAAATCGTTCAGACACCCTAACTGTAGACGGAATAAATTACGGATTTGATTTATGGAAGTATTTCAGTCAGCATCTAATTAAGAATTGAACTATTGTTTTTATGATTTCTTTTGATGTGTAGGAGGTAGCTTCTCCCAGTGAATCATCGAGACCAACATCGACGGCTGCGTCTGGACTGGAGAACATTGCTACAGATGATCTCTACTCAAGATACAAGGTATGCTCTCTCCCTCAACAAACAAGGCAGTTTTTTTTATTTTTTATAAATGTTATGCTTCCTTGGAGAAATTTCAATAGTTTAAACATATTTGTGGCTTACACCCAGTAAATAGATTGATTGATCAATGTAATTGAAAAACAAGTCAGACAAATCTTGGAACCATCAGGATTTGAACCTGCCATCTACTGCTTGCTGGGCAGCGACTCTACCACCAGGCCATCACTGGTCCATGGCACAGTCACAATGAACTAGAAACAAATACCCAAGCTCTCCTGATTCATTCTGACTTATTAATATTCATTAGTCCGCCATAGGACAATAACTTTTATAAATGTAATGCTTCCTGGGAGAAATTTCAATAGTTTAAACATATTTGTGGCTTACACCCGGGCAGTGTTTCACAAAAGCGTCACAAGTACACGTACAAGTTCACTGACAACCCATTGAAACTTGTCAACACGCGATTCAGTGGGATGTTGGTGAACTAGTACTGTTTTGTGAAACAACACCCTAGGTTCTTACCACTCATGAGACCAAACCTTTGAGACTCACAACTTTACTGCTGCACTAGTTAAAAAAAAGAATATCAAAATCATTGGAAACAGGATATAAATTACTAACACTTGTAGTATTACCTGATGCAGGCCTGCATATCTCAATTTTATACTCTTAATAATTTTTATGTTTCTATGTGGGAAATGAAATTGTTTTCCTCTCTTCATGTACAACATTGGTTATAAAATATGACCAAGAAGAAATAAGGTGAAAATGTTTAAGTTTTCTAGTGATTAAAAAGAAGAGGATAGTGAATGTTGGCTTTAATTGTCTAATAGATAACTTATTTAACATATTTCAGATTTAAAACTCAATGTCAAGTCTCTTCAAACTCTTAGTTACACCCTCATGGTTATTTTTGCAGTTTGGTTTTAGGGTTAGAGTTTGGAATTGAGGAAATCGATTGCAGTCCCATTGTCATCAGAGGGTGTGTCATTAAACTGAATATACCAAAGGTAATACTGAAGGTCTGATAAAGTGTTGTTTCTCTGTGATTGGTTTACTTTGAATGCAGAAATTACAGCAGCAGCTTGAGTTCTTAGAAGTACAGGAGGAGTACATCAAGGATGAACAAAGAAATCTCAAGAAAGAATTCCTTCATGCCCAGGAAGAGGTCAAGCGTATTCAGAGTGTTCCTCTGGTCATCGGTCAGTTCTTAGAGGCAGTTGACCAGCACACTGGCATCGTAGGATCAACTACAGGTAAGTGACCAATGTTAATAAAAACTCACTCATTGGTCAGTTCCACTATTAGAGTAGAGAGAGTTCATAGGTCAAATTTATGGAGCACCAAAGTACTTTCCTCCTAGATAGAGATTGTATGTGGGAGGTGAATATAGCTCTGTGAATATTCCTGTAAGCGTGTTTGCATGCGTAGGTCCCAATGATCCAATCATCTCCGTAAGCAATGGTTGGTTTCTTCCTCAAGGTTGAAACAGAGCCCAAAACCTTTCCTTCCAAGACCAAGACCCAATGAAAACAGGTCTCGAGACCTACAACATTGGTACATGGAATATGTTCATAGTACTCTTAGTAATAGGCCTACACCCATCCTTTTTAAAATTATACATGAATGTAACATTCTTTTTCATCACATGTAGGTTCCAACTCATACGTGCGTATCCTTAGCACCATCGATCGTGAGCTGTTGAAACCAAGCGCCAGCGTCGCCCTTCACAAGCACAGCAATGCACTGGTTGATGTACTACCTCCAGAAGCTGATAGTAGTATCATGATGCTGGGTGCAGGTTAGTCTGTTTAGAAGCCCTCAATAACCTGTCATGAGTAACGTTAGCTGACAGCCCATTAGAATGCTCAATTTAAATTGAACAGGCATTTCTTAGGATGTCTGTGAAATTATACTTACTATGGTTTCGTGGAATGCTGCCCTGGTAACTAACTATCTGATTCACCTGCTATGCGTAATGGAATCTCTACAGATGGAATCAACTTTGCATATTGTATGTTACCGGTTGCTATGTTCGGCAAGGCTTTGGACAACTTTTGAGTTGTCAAAGAGAAGCTTTTGTTGAAGAAGCATGCATGAAATTAATAAACGGCATATTCGTAAAACCTTACTAAGCCTAGTTGTCAACTATCTGTGTACTACAGCCTTTATAATTGGTTGACATTCCTGAACAATTTGATGAACAGAGATACAAATAATTATGCATGGAATCAAGGGTACCATAAAAGACCAAGGCGGTCTTGTCAAGACAGTCTTTTTATGTAGTAAAGTAGAAAGTGATTGAATGCATGACGAAAGGATATTTAAACACTTTGGTTATGAGCAAAACAGAAACGTTAAAAATTATGTAATGAAACTAGGAACAATTATATAAGATAAAGATCAGCAACCTTGAACAAAGTTTGGAAACCAACATTAACAATTTGAGAGTAAAAATTCAAAAGATGAAGAGGAATTTCTTAAATATCCTCTTAAAACTGTTATTATTAATGTTATTTTTTAGATGAGAAGCCTGACGTGGTGTATTCAGACATCGGTGGTATGGACATGCAGAAGCAAGAGATCCGTGAAGCTGTAGAGCTCCCTCTCACGCACTTTGATCTCTATCAGCAGATTGGTATCGACCCGCCGAGGGGTGTGCTCATGTTTGGACCCCCGGGATGTGGTAAAACCATGTTAGCTAAGGCTGTAGCTCATCATACCACAGGTGAGACATTAGATAGCCACGGTCACATACCTGCCAACATAATCCGGAATATTCTGACCTGAACATTTAGAATCTTCCGATTTTTCAACAATATTAGTATTATCTGTAGCATATTATTATAGGCCCTCTAAAAAGAAAAGACCCCCCTCAGTAATACATTTTTGAAAAATTTACATTTAAGTAATTAAAACAAATGGGAGAGTCATCTCAAAGTCGTCTCAAACTACAGTTTCGCAGTGACATTGCTGATTCAGCTAATTTTAAAAGTCCCTTACTTTGTGTGATTTTAACTATTAAGAATTAACAGCTTTCTTATTGATGGTCTGATTTTTTTTAAACCTACACCAATCTACTTCTCTAATTGTTCTGCTTTCCGTTAGAGCAATTTCCTTTAAATGTTGGATTTACAGCCAAACCTGCCTTTGCGCCCACCTGTATAGAAAGACAACCTGTCTACAGAGACCACATTTTTTGTTTCCCTTGAAAATGCTTTCTCATCGAAACATGTACTAAAGGAACCTGTACATGAAGACCACCTGCCTATAAAGACCACTTTTCTTGTCTCCCTTGGGTGATCTTTATAGACAGGTTTCACTGTACCTCCAAACTTCTTGAGTTATAGGTTTAATTTTTGATAGGTAATTTACAATAAATTAGAACATATCCACTATATTCGGCTCAAGTGTTTGATTTCTATTCCCTTATCTTTCAGCTGCTTTCATTCGAGTCGTTGGTTCAGAGTTTGTTCAGAAGTATCTAGGAGAAGGCCCACGTATGGTGAGGGATGTGTTCAGACTGGCTAAAGAGAATGCTCCTGCAATCATCTTCATTGATGAGATCGATGCCATCGCGACCAAGAGATTTGACGCCCAGACAGGAGGTGAGGTTTAAACTTCAAGCAACACACACAAAAAAAGAGATGTATTGGCGTACACCAGCCGATCCTAAAAAATTCCCCAACCCTGAAAAATACTTCAATAAAATAGTATTTGGTAGCGAGATAAGAATAGCGCAATATTGTGATATCTTTATTTTTTGTTTTGTTCACAGTAGCAAAAGTTTTAAACCAGTGTCACTACTAACTTCTTTTTAGTCAATGTGGGCTTGTTTTTTTATTCAAGTCGTGGGTGTTCCGTTTCGTGTACAAAGCAATAGGAGTACGAATATAGTTCAGGTATCCCATTTGCCTGCAGGAAAAAAAAGGACCTACCGATTTAGCCAATAGTACATACAACTTACCAAAAGTCATAATCTTCTTATTTTTTGTCCAATTTCAATAAAACTTTCACAAGTCTGCTTCTCTGATATTTCTGCTTCATTTATAGCGGGCCTAATACGTTGTTTCTAGGCGCAGTTGTCCCAGCAGCCATTAAGTGAAGCGCTGTCCTTACACACAAAATATTAAAGTAGTTTACTACTGATGTTGGATTTTCCTTAAAAGGTCACTCACTCAAGACTATTTTATGTTTGTTATGTTTCAGCTGATCGAGAGGTACAGAGGATCCTTCTGGAGTTGCTCAATCAGATGGATGGCTTCGATCAGAATGTCAATGTCAAGGTCAGATATCTTTCTTAATTTTTTTTTTTTTACTGCATTTAAATGAATGGGAAATGTTTCAGAGTTTCAAACTCATGTAACCAGAAAGTTTATATAAAGTTCAATTCTGTTGCAATAATCAGGCTGAGGATGGATTATGAAGCTCAGAAACAGGTTTCATTCATTGTTCAATGATATGGTCTTCAAGATGCTAAGATTTAAACTTGACACAGGGCTTAAAGGTAAAGACCAGATATGGTCATGCGATTGCATTGTGAAATAAACGTGAAATCGATCAGAAAAGGTTGATCATCTAGCATAGATGTACTGCAAGTTTCTGGAATCATCAAAATGATAAGAAATTTGGCCAAGTCTTCATAAAGTTAGAAGCACTGTACACAGAAAGGGGTATATGGGACTACACACACGTGCGCGACACATGCATTCCATATCTCTCAACAGGAGAGAGATACACTAATTTACCAAATATATCAATAAGTAGGCGGTTTCCCGTCAAATTTTTTATCTTCATGTAATATTCAAAACATATTCTTTCACATGATTGGTAATAAGAGCTTCCATTTCATTTTTTGAAATTGGGGCATTTCCAATACTGGTCTTTACCTTTAAGCTACTAATCAATATTGGGTTTAACAAGGGGACTATAAAGGCAAGTGTGAACTTCAATAATAATTTCAATATCATTTAGCTACATCAAAGTACCTTTTAATCTGCCTTTTTGCAGGAAAAGAAGAACTTCTAACAATTGTTGCCTTATGCTAAGGAACCCTTATATGTTCCTTTGCTTTTGTAATTCGGTATTTACTATCGTCGTCATCATCATCATCATCATCACTATTATCATCGTCATCACCAAAGTTATCATTGTCATCTACGTATGAAACGCAGTTGCAGAGGGTTTAAATGTTGAATGTGATTTTGTAATTGTAGGTGATCATGGCAACGAACCGAGCCGACACCCTTGACCCCGCCCTGTTGAGACCAGGTCGTCTAGATCGTAAGATTGAGTTCCCTCTGCCTGACAGGAGACAGAAGCGTCTTATCTTCAGTACCATCTGTGCTAAGATGAATCTCAGCGATGAGGTCGATCTAGAAGATTGTATCCTTTACCAAATTAAGAGTCATTTTGAAGAACAACTTGTTTTCAGTTTGGCCCTTAACTCATATCCTGCCATAAGGCCGCATGCACGCTACCATTATAGTGCTTTGTACACACGAGCGCGCTTTCGATTGAGTGCTTAATTCACGCGAGCGAGCCACAGCTTAGCTGCTTTATGCATGCATGCTCGCATTTGTAATAGCAATAAATGTTTATGCTCATTGTACTGTGCTGAGTGTTACGCACGCGCTATTGATCGTGCCATCTGATTATCAGATTATCTCTAAATAATCTTGGCACAGGGAGGATTTGTGGCTTGGCACAATGGGGATTAGCCCTGTTGCACTGGGCTGTATTCATTATGGCAGGATAAGAGTTAATGAATTACTGTCCTGAAAGGGTTCAAACAAACCTATGTCATAAAGAGACATGACCACACTAGACAGACTGTATTAAACCCTTGCATGGTACAAGAGTGAAGGGGGGGGGGGAAGCAAGGCATGTAATTGTCACTACTGATGCAAATATAGCTATTCATGAGCACCACTCCCAATGTGGGCGTGTCTCCCAGAAGCATTTATAAAAGTCTAAAGACAACATATAGCACACCAAGCAATTACAAAATATATTGATATTAATAAAAAGGCAAGAATGTTATTGCTCACTATCTATTCAAATAAATAAGGCGTTATATACTCTTTTAGTCTATTCTTATATTTAGAAAGGGACATCCAAAGTTTCTTGAGTTGGTCGACAGATGGAGCAGTCTTCACGATAGTAGGTAGCCGGTTCCACACACAGAAACAAAGATAAAGTTTCCTTAACTATTCTTTCCCTTCTCAGACGTAGCAAGGCCAGATAAGATTTCAGGAGCTGATATCAACGCTATCTGCCAAGAGGTAAGGACTCATGCTAGTAAAAACATACCAAGTTAAAGAGAAGGTTGAGTTTTTGGAAAGTTCTGGGAAAGGTGTAGATAATATTTTTATGTCATGTTGGATGATGTTTTTTGGTTTATTCATTTTGTTACAGATTCACAGTAATTTGTGAAACAAGAATTTAACATCAGTTGTGTTGTTCATCAATAATGTTGCGGCATGAACCGTCTTGAATCTTGGCCTTTTCGGTCATTGATCCTTAATTGGTATCATTTTTAATCAAAAAAAGAAACTGTACGATACAAAGAAATGTGTACTTTTAAGATTTAATTAATCCGTTGTGTTGTTGTTGTTTTAGTATTATTTGCGTGTATCATTCATATTTACGCCCTGCTTTATGTGGTGCTTAACCTTCATTCAATCCTCTTTCTATTCAATCTATGTTTCCGATCCACAGGCTGGTATGCAAGCTGTACGTGAGAATCGTTATGTAATCCTGGCAAAGGACTTTGAGAAAGGCTACCGTAACAACATCAAGAAGGACGAGACTGAGCATGAATTCTACAAATAAACCATTAGAGATATCAAGGCTTTAACCATATATTTTGATACAATTAAACGTTACCACATTATTGTTTCTAATACTACTAATCTACTTTGATACAACAACATCCCACAGGCAATGTTTGGTAGGGGAGGGAGTGGGGCAAAGCCTGTTAAAAAAACATGCCATTAGTAATCCATGATTTGTATAGCTTGTCAGCAATTGAATCATAAAATTGATGACCAGTTTTCATCATTTTAACATCTTAAAATATATCCTTTCCTTTTCTAACTTGTCAGCACATCTGGTCCAATTGGTTGGGACTCCTCCCCCCCCCCCCCCATTCAAACACAGTGTAGCTTCGCCCCTGTCCGCCGTGGAGGTGCCATGGTATAGTGGTTTATTCACTTGACTCTCATTCCTAGGGTCAAGAGTTCAAATCCCAACATGTCACTAATGTTCTTTGGCAGGCTGTTAATCCACATTTTTTGCCACTGTAAATGGGTACCTGATATGCCAGAGTGCTTCAGATTTGGCAGATTTGGCCGAAATCAGTCAAAGTCGCATAAAATCTTGACGGTTTTATTTAATCCCCATGAGAAAATCCTTTTAAAGAATGAAATACACCGACCATATACATCTGTAACAAATGTACCGTTTGATGTTCTAGTAGTAGAGTAACATGATTGTGAATACCGGTAATGAGTGATATATAAACATTATTTTGTTGGCTAGATGCAGTCAGTTTATAGAGATGCTCAATTATTCATTTCCTATGGAATACATGTAGGATGGTAATCTCTGGAGAGGTTCATCTGATGTGTGATGTTACTTGCAAATAAGTTCTTTCTTCACAATCAGTGGAAAAATTATGTGTTTCAGAATGCCATACCATGCTGCAAGCTACTTCAGACCTATGTCGTATCTTGCATTGTTGCTGATGCAGTACGACATTACTCTTTCACCAATGTACAGATAAACCTGTCTATAGCGAACGCCCTAGCAAAACACAAAAGTGGTCTTTGTATACAGGTGGTCTTTGTAGGCAGGTTCCTTTAGTACATGTTTCAATGAGAAACCATTTTAAGGGAAACAAATAATGTGGTCTTTGTAGACAGGTGGTCACTAAAGCAGGTTTGACTGTAAGATCCTATTCTACAGTATCATTGTATTGTACATTGCCATTGATTAGGAGAGTTTGGACACCCCGGTTTGAGTTGGGCACAGTATGGTGAATACTGCTATGTTGGGAAAGCACACAACTAAAAGAATATTATGCCATGTTGAGACCAACTGAAAACCATGTTGGCCAAACCCTGTCTATAGAGGGCTCTGGTACTGCATCAGTGACAGTGCGCTTTGACATACATGTAGGTCTCAAAATAGATTGCAGTATGGTAAGTGAAAGCGGATTTAACAGGTTATTTATATACCGATTGGGAAGAAAGAACCATTTTTCAAGCATGGTAGTATTATTGTGATATTGTTAGAAAAAAATTGTTGTTTAGCTGTAAATGACTCATGGTCATGAAAGTACATGTATAAAAAGGGCGATTTTCCCAAGATTTTAAGGACGGTTTTCAGTCAGTAAAGATGTATGTTAAAAACAAATTTGTTCTAAATTTGTACTCTATGTCGATGTTTTGGCCGTTAGTTAGTGGTTGTTTGTAAGGTAAAACCACCAATTATGGAAATGATGGAGAAAATGGGGGAATGTTTGATTTTAACTGTGATTTAAACTGAATGAAAACAAAAGTTATCCAAATTAAATGATGAATACAGTGATACAAGGCTTGGTTGTGATGTTTACACGTAGTATGGTATTAAAGGGGTATACACAGTGATGGTGATGATGATGTTGGTGATGAAGATGATGATGTTGGTGATAAAGATGATGATGTTGGTGATGATGATGGTGGTGATGATGTTAGTGATGATGATAGTGATGATGATGATGGTGATGATGATGATGATGGTGATGATGATGATGATGATGCTGTTGATGATGATGATGATGATGATGATGGTGATGATGATGATGATGATGATGGTGATGATGATGATGGTGATGATGATGATGATGGTGATGATGATGATGATGATGATGGTGATGATGGTGGTGATGATGATGATGATGGTGATGATGATGGTGGTGATGATGATGGTGATGATGATGATGATGATGATGATGGTGATGATGATGATAATGATAATGATGATGATGATGGTGATGATGATGATGATGGTGGTGATGATGATGATGATAGTGATGATGGTGATGATGATGATGATGATGCTGTTGATGATGATGATGTTGGTGGTGATGATGATGATGACCATCTCGTACTGGGGTATATCTAGTTGGTACTCTGTCTGAGTCTCATTCACATAGACTTGTCAAAAATTGCTTACTAATCTTAGGAAAGCTCATTAAAATGATAAAGGAAATAATGATTGCTTCTATGAAGTATTGCATCAAATGCTCTACCTTGGGTAAAGAGCAATCATTTTCTTTCAATAGACCGCGTTTGAAAGGAGATTGCAGACACTTGCATAATTCATGGAAATCATCTTGTTTTTCAGAGACTTGACTTCTATAAAAGTAAAAAGGCCATTTTAACCACAACCTAGTTCATTAGGTTTTCATATTACTGCATTAATAATTCATCCTAGGCTCTGTCATAAGTATCTGCAATCCCTTTTTATCTCTTTCTGATGTCTCTTCTCCCTATTTTGACGGTTTTTCATAATTTTTCTGTGGTGGGCGTTTACTCTCTCTCCCCTCTCTCTTTCTTAAGCTCCCCCTCTCTTCCATACACTTTCCATTTTAATATTTTGCTCTTGCTTCTGTCCCTTTCTCTCTCTCTCCCTCTCTCTCTCTCTCTCTCTCTCTCTCTCTCTTTCTCTCTCTTTCTCTCCCTCCATCTTTCCCATGCACCCTTATCCTATCTTTCTCCACACTCCAACCCCTATTCTCAGAACATTATCTGGTAGGCCTATAAAGTTTCCGTAACCCTGTCCATTCTGCCATCTTGCGATTGCTAATTAGAAGCTGTATTTGTCAATGATAGGTGTACATAATTTTAGTAGCGGTCGGCCGGTTCTATAGATTGGGGCTTCGGGGGCTCAAGTCCCCCCTTAAAAGAAAAAAATATATATTCAAGCCTGCGATTCCCTTCAAAATTTGTAAGCGGCATACTTATGTAGAAAACCAAAGCAAGAACCCCAAATTAAGCCCCCCCCCCTTCTAGATCTACTTCTGCATAATACTAGATCTACAAATAAAGTAACCTGAAATAGGAAATGGAATATTCAATACAAAAAAACAATTAGCTGAGAAAAAGAAGGGTTTGAGCTACAGAGCTCACAATGATAAGCATATCGGCCTGGCTGTCATAGCCAGTGGCGGATCCAGGAGGGGGTCGGGGGCCTGCCCCCCTCCAAGCCACTGAACGAAATATCTGACGACGTAATTTTTCCAATTTCCAGGGCCAAACAAAAAATGAAACCCCCCCCCCCCCCCCCCCCCCCCCCCCAGCAAACCTAAAAGAGAGAGAAGGAAGGGAAGGGAAAGGGAAAGAGGAGAGAAAGGGTAAGAAAAGAAAGAAGAAAGGTAAGGAGATCAGTTGCGATTTTCCGCCAACAAAGTGTAGATTATGGGGGGGGGGGGGGGGGCGGGGCACTAGCGTACTGATCGGAGAGGGCTCTGGGGAAATGAAATTCAAACGTGGCTTATTTCTTATTCCATAACGGTGGCTTACACATAATGCTGAAATATTTTCCGAGATTTTTCCTCATTTTTTAGTAAATTATACTTGTTTTATGCGTTTGTTGTAAAATGACAAATTCCTAAATTTACAGCCAGGCAAGAGCTTCCTGAGATGCCTACATAATTATGTCAGGGCCCGAGGAACGGCGAGAATCGGGAGCCTCCAGCTCCCTTCCCCTCCCACTCCCCCTACTTTGTTTGAAAAAGTATATTAAAGAGAAATAGAAAGAAAGAGAGCAAGAAAGGAAGAATAGTTCACTGCCAGTGTCACAACAAAATAAGATATCAAAAAATGCTCATCTGACCGTAATTAAACGCCTAAAACCCCTGAGCTTCCGGGGGCTCTGCCCCCTGGACCTAACCAAGGGCCCTAAGACGGGCCCCTTGATACTCATCTGACCGTAATTTAGTGCCTAAAACCCTTGAGCTTCTGCATGCCCCAGGACCAAAATCCAATTGAAACCAGTTGAAATCTCCAACTGGTTTCAATTGGTTTCAACTGGTTTCAATTGGTTTCAATTGGAATAGAAAATTTCCAGTTGAAACCAATTGCCGAACTGGAAAATATTGTTATGGGTACTCATTTCCAGTTCAAACCAATAAGAAGTGCAACTGGAACCAGTAAGGTAATTTTTCCAGTTACTCAATTGGTTCCAGTTAGAAGTCATTTCCAGTTACCCAACTGGTTCCAGTTAGAAGTTCAACTGGAAACAGTAAGATGATTTTCCTGTTACTCAATTGGTTCCATTAGAATTCATTTCCAGTTACCCAACTGGTTCCAGTTAACATTCATTTCCAGTTAGAAGTCATTTCCAGTTACCCAACTGGTTCCAGTTAGAATTCATTTCCAATTACCCAATTGGTTCCAGTTAGAAATCATTTCCAGTTACCCAACTGGTTCCAGTTAGAATTCATTTCCAGTTACCCAACTGGTTCCAGTTAGAATTCATTTCCAGTAACCCAACTGGTTCCAGTTAGCATTCATTTCCAGTTAGAAGTCATTTCCAGTTACCCAACTGGTTCCAGTTAGAAGTCATTTCCAGTTACCCGACTGGTTCCAGTTAGAATTTATTTCCAGTTACCCAACTGGTTCCAGTTAGAATTCATTTCCAGTAACCCAACTGGTTCCAGTTAGCATTCATTTCCAGTTAGAAGTCATTTCCAGTTACCCAACTGGTTCCAGTTAGAAGTCATTTCCAGTTACCCGACTGGTTCCAGTTAGAATTTATTTCCAGTTACCCAACTGGTTCCAGTTAGAAATCATTTCCAGTTACCCAACTGGTTCCAGTTAGCATTCATTTCCAGTTAGAAATAATTTCCAGTTACCCAACTGGTTCCAGTTAGAATTCATTTCCAGTTACCCAATCGGTTCCAATTGAAAATATTTCCAGTTACCCAACTGGATCCAATTGAAACCAGTTAATTTGCATATTATATGCTTGTGTGCAGATCAATGTTTTATGTAATTTATTTTGATTTACAATGTACTTATTAATTAATTTTCATTTGCAAGTAATGCATTTGTTTTAGATAAATATAAAGATTAATTAGCAATGATAAGCATGTTCATTAGCAACATATTTTTGTAATTACACAGATTAAAAGTTGATGAGTAAAACACTAACCATGTACAAAATACATCAATTACAAACATATATAATGGCAATGCCTTCCTTGTTAAGTATATTATATGGTCTGCATATTATAATGCCCTTTACATTGTACTTAATGTAGACACATATAACAATGTTTCTGTGTTGACATGAGCGATAATTAGTGCAAGAGCTAATTAACTTATAACTAATTAAGTTTATGCCAATTACTGTAAGTTTCAATTGGATCCAATTGAAACCAATTGAAACCAGTTGAAACCAGTTGAAGCCAACTGGTTTCAATAGGGAAATTGGAACAACTGGTTCCAGTTGAAACCAATTAGGCAACTGGATCCAGTTGGCAATTGGTTTCAACTGGTTTCAATTGGAACCAGTTGGCAATTGGTTTCAACTGGTTTCAATTGGAACCAGTTGTTCCAATTTCCCTATTGAAACCAGTTGGCAACTGGTTTCAATTGGTTTTGCTCCAATTGGTTTCAACTGGATTTTGGTCCTGGGTGGGGGCTCCGCCCGCTGGACCTCACGCCAATCAGTGTCCTGCCAGTGTAACAAATAAGGTATTAAAATATGTTCATCTGACCGTAATCAAATGCATATAAAACCCCTGAGTTTCCGGGGGCGGACAAGGTATCGAAATGTGTTCATCTGACCGCAGACGCGTAGCTAGGGGCGGTGAGGGCGCCCCCCCCCCCACCAAAAAAAAAAAGAGAGGAAAGAAAAGAAAGAGGAAGTAGGAAGAAAAAGGAGCAGACAACAAAAAACATTTTTGAAATTTAGACGAGGATTAAGAGTCGAGGATTTAATGAAACGTAAAAGCTTCCGCGCTTCGCTCGGATCGAGGAGCCAGTGAAACTGAATTCAAACGAGGATTATTTTGAGAACGGTACAACGAATCGTCTTCTTTCTCTTATAATGAAACTACAGCAAAGCTTCCGCGCTTCCCGGAGGAAGGGGGGGGGGGGGGGCTGAATTCATACAAGGATTAAGATTCGACAATGGTAATTTGAATCGTCTTCTTTCTCTAATGATTTCACTGAACATAAAAGCTTCCGCGCTTCGCGCTGGAGTGGAAAAACTGTATCCAAACGAGGATTATTTTCAAGAACGGTACTACGAATCGTCTTCTTTCTCTAATAATTTAAGGAAACGTCAAAGCTTCGGCGCTTTCCGGAGGAGGGAGTGGGAAACCGCCCCTCCCTGCTCCCCCCCCCCTGGTCACCATTACGTACCAATATTTGGCTCGCAAAATTTCAAATTTGCCCCCCCCCCCTTGGAAATCCTGGATCCGCGCCTGGTCATAGCATAATTACATGAAGGGGCTTGCTTGATGTGACCCCGATGAAAGCCTTCATCGTTTTGACGGGGTAAGAAAAACTACAGGACTGGTATGTATAACAAAATCCCGCCGTATTATAATCAGGCACGTAGCCACGGGGGGGGGGGGGGGGGGGGGGGGGGGGGGGGGCACGTGCCCCCCCCCCCAAAAAAAAATTCCAGGATCGGTTGAACTTTTTTAGACCCCCTTTTTTTTTTACCTCGATCGATTACATGTATGTGCCCGCCCCCCCCCCCAAACATCAAACTATGGCTACGTGCCTGATTATAATGAGGAAATTGGAAGATTGGAGTCTTAAATGCCGAATGTGTCACAGTAGTCCCCCTTCGTTCCCACCCTTATTTCGGTGACTATATTTGAAAACCTTTACATGATTTGTTTCATTGTCATCATTTACGTTTAGTTATTATATCACGGAAATTCATTGTAGCTTAACGGCTGTTTTTCAAAAAAAATCTGTTAACTGAATACAAAATATTTCAAACAAAAGCCAGTTTATTTGTGATATCAAAGCTCAAAATAGCGCTGAAATTCGAGCGAGTTATAAATATGTATATAGTTAACCAAATCTTTTATTCGTTATGACTGTGCACTCCAGAAAATGTTGGCATTAATGTTGTGCTTTTGGCAGGATGGGGCTGTCCATTAATTGGCGTTAGACTAATATTCATCCCGTTGGCGAATAAAGTAGGACACATCATTTTTTTTTAAATAATTCTAAATAAAAGAAACTATAAGACTGAAAGCGAGTGGGAAAGGGAGAATGAATGTATTGGTTTTAGAATGATGACCGACAGAGGGGCCAGAAATAATGAACGGAAACAGGGGAGGGGGCGGAAGGGAGGCCAAGTCATTACGGTAAATTATTAACGAATAATGAGAATAATATAGATTAAATATGAAAAGGAGCTACATTGTAACAGCTTTTCCTTTGCTTTAAGTGGCGTACAGGCCTACTGAAGGGGGAAAGCTAAAATCACTCATATCAAATGTTGCTGAAATATCATAATTTTCCGGGATTTTTTCTCACTCAAGAAGAAGAAGAAGAAGAAGAAGAAGAAGAAGAAGATCGAAGAAGAAGAAGAAGAAGAAGAAGAGGAAGAAGAAGAAGAAGAGGAAGAAGAAGAAGAAGAGGAAGAAGAAGAAGAAGAAGAAGAAGAAGAAGAAGAAGAAGAAGAAGAAGAAGAAGAAGAAGAAGAAGAAGAAAAAAAGAAGAAGAAGAAGAAGAAAACGAAGAAGAAGAAGAAGAAGAAGAAGAAGAAGAAGAAGAAGAAGACTGAGAAGAAGAAGAAGAAGAAGAAGAAGAAGAAGTGGAAGATGAAGGACGGATCGAGGATAAAAAAAAAACGATGTGCATTTCTTGTAAATGTTGGGACAAATAAAGAAAAAAAAATGAACGAATAGTCTGAACCTGTATAAATAAGACAAAAAGAGAGAAAGAAAAAAAATTGAAGGAATAACTTGTCTCATGCACCGCGTGAGTTGTTTGCACTTATGATAATCAAAGTAATTATGTCGGGTGTAACTGAAACTAATAGGAAATCACTTCCGGTTAGTTCCCCATTCATTTGTACACACCGGTATTATCTGACGTACGCGAGTTCCACGTCGCTAAACCTACCGAGTACACACACCCTCACCGCGCCGTAACTGCTCGGTAGCGATAGCAGGAGTGAGCTAAGCTAGAGCTGTCTACGGTTTCTCTCATTCATAGACCGTTAATAGACGATTGGATTAGCGTTTCGCCAAGATGGCTTCTTTTCAGCGGCAGAGTTCCGCTATTTCAAACGCTTCAAGCTCATCTTTTATGGACAATTCTGTCCTGTTATCAATATCAACACTCAGGCAACTTATCATCAACAATATTGAATATTTTCAGAAGCTTCGAAGCAGTACAGGAGAGAAATTTTACACTTTGTTTTGCGTGATTGAGCAAGAAGCGGATGCTATGCGACCGACCGTGGAAGCGCTTGAACGAATATCTCACAACTTCGATTTTGACCCCAAAGTACCGGGCAATGGATACCGAAGTTTAGTGCAAGTTGTAGATGCTTGTGTTGATAGACTCATCAAGGTTGTCAGAAGTATATCACAAACTCGTGAAAGTTATTTGTTTCGAAGTGGCTTTCACCTGAAGGAGTTGGAGTCGTACGGGGCGGTACTGGGCCAGCTACGGGTTATCCTCGGGTACGCTCAGAAGCTGGTCGCCTACTCGGAGCCGGGCAATTTATTCCCAAACAATGATGAACAGTTTCCCGAGAATGTTATGCTAGAGGTTCAGGCTTTGGATCGAGAATGTTTTTATGGCAGATGTCTTGGCTTCCAGGTAAGTAGATCTAGATCTAGACTAAATGAATAGTCTACATTCATTCATCAGAAAAACGTAAACCAGGTCATGCATGCCTCGGCCTCGGCCTCCTCGGCCTCCTCGGCCTCGGCCTCCTCACTCAAAATTACTCCAATCCAAGAGTTACTTAATATTAACCCATTGATTTTTGCACTTTATTTCTTTGTTTTACAACTTTCATTTTTCCAGGTACAGCCAGCCCATGATATTATTTCTATCTGTTTTCTTTTTGTACATTTTGTTTGAAGATGATAAACCCAGGTTAAAATTTTCGTTAATCCTGAAGTCTGTAGGCCTAGACCTAGACTAGATCTATCTAGTAGGCTACAACTTAGACCGAAAGCTTCAGTCTCTATAATCGTCGGTTGTTCCACTGAGACTACGTCTGGCTCCACTAGACCTCCGGTTATAGAGACTGAACGACTGCCTATGCCAGCCTGTGTTGAACTTATTCCGCTAGATTTTAGCCGCTAGGCCCCTCCCACAAACTTGCCACGGCCGTATTGTTATGCCCCCAAAATCCCCCAAAATGTCATTTTACCTCGTTCATTTCCAATTTTAAATTAGGCCTAGGCTATAATACATCGGTTCCACTTACTAACTTGATTGATATAATCCGTTTAATGGTCCCTTTTAAGGAAATTATCGGTCAAAATCGACATCCATGTTGAAAATCTTGCAAGCCGTGTTAAACTCTCGCTGCCGTCAATCTCATCCCTTCTAGTCTACGCCGAAGGCAAAATGATTATGAAGGAAAAACTGTGCGCCATCTACACGTTCGTAATGGCGTTATCACAGTTTTTTCCTTCATCATCATTTTGCCTTCGGCGTAGACTAGAAGGGATGAGATTGACGGCAGCGAGAGTTTAACACGGCTTGCAAGATTTTCAACATGGATGTCGATTTTGACCGATAATTTCCTTAAAAGGGACCATTAAACGGATTATATCAATCAAGTTAGTAAGTGGAACCGATGTATTATAGCCTAGGCCTAATTTAAAATTGGAAATGAACGAGGTAAAATGACATTTTGGGGGATTTTGGGGGCATAACAATACGGCCGTGGCAAGTTTGTGGGAGGGGCCTAGCGACTAAAATCTAGCGGAATAAGTTCAACACAGGCTGGCATAGGCAGTCGTTCAGTCTCTATAACCGGAGGTCTTAGTGGAGCCAGACGTAGTCTCAGTGGAACAACCGACGATTATAGAGACTGAAGCTTTCGGTCTAGCTACAACTATGAACTACAAGCCCAATGTTATTGAACTAAATTTGTTGTTATTCATTGATTTCTTAACCCTCATCCTGTCCCTGTAGGCCCAATCCCCCAACGACCAAAATGCATCCTGGGATGAGCAGGTGAGTCATGTGACGATTTATCTCAAATTTCATACAGCAAAATGGCAAATGAGGATAGTCGCTGTTCAATCGTCAGTTTGCATCATTGTGAACTCTGCTGTCATCATGTCATGTATTTTGTTCATTGACTGTCCTCATTTGCTCTATGATTTTGAAATTGTAGATAAATCGTCACATGACTCACTTGCTGTCATCATTATCATTTTATTTGTTGTGATTATTATCGTTGAGTAGGTCTAGAAGAAAAAAAACAAGGCCAATTTGGGAGATCTATAGTCTTTCAAAGTTCAAACACATCAGAGACTTACTTTTACTTTACTTTTAATTTAATACACAATGTAGGTCTAAGCCTGTTCATCGATCCAGGATTCTTCCATGGTTACTGCTATTTGTGGAGGGAGGAGGTTGTGTAATAACATGTGCATGTAGATGTATTGCATGAGAATGATAAGAACAACGTAAACATCAACAATAAGGCAATTTTTCCCTGCCAAATTTCTGCCTCTCTGGGGCCAGGAGCCCATCGGTGTTGAGTTCGGTTTATAACAAAAACTCATAATGATATGAAAATTATATAAAGGAGACAGCAAATTATTAAAGAGGATGGTCAGAGCGTGCAATTTTTCATGAGGAATCTGCTCATCAAATTTTGATTTTGGGCTGAGGTAAATCCCTTTGCAGAAATGGGAGACAGTCTCCCAAATAGGAGATAATTCTTCCATACTGCCCTTGCGCCTCTAATGTCAGTAGTATATGAAAGAGAGAGAGAGAGAGAGAGAGACAGAGGGAGACAGAGAGAGGCATTAAAAAGTGAATGACATTGTAATCCTCTCTTTGGCATAGACTTTGAATTCATATTCAATCCTCCTGCCAGCCTAAAGTTATATGGCTTATTGGATTACATTCATTGCCATGGTAATATGTAACTCACCCTAGATTCATATCTTGCATAACATGTCTGTTGACGTCTGACGATGATATAATGTACATGTATACAGTCTATGTGTGCATGTACAGTAGGTTAGATACATGTGTGTTAAAATGTACATTTTAATTATATGAAATTGAAAGTGGATGACAAAGACCCAATTGACCTTGATGAGGTGGGTATGAATGGTCCGCTTAATTGGCGGGGCGGCTTCTAGATTGACACAGGAAATTAAGAGGCTTCTGTCAGATTCAGAGAGGAGAGCACGGTGTATCATCATCAAATGTAAACAAAAACAGCCTACATGTAGAGATACAAATGTATGAAACTCTGAAATTCACCAAATTTGTTGTGAATTTTAATGGAGGATATTTACATACATGTACATTTTCACAACCCCTGCATACAACATACTGTACATGTACATTTACTGTAATATACACATCAAGTATATATGCCATGTTGGCTTGATCAATGCTTACAAGTACACTGTACAACATGCACCACTATCACGTGGCGAACTGAGAGACAGGGCATCAATTACTTAAGATTACTTGCAAAAGAAAGTGAGAGTTCTATTTGCATACTTTGTTGCATTTCCATAGGCGCGTCTTCATCATCTCAAGATTGCCAAATATCTCGAGATTGCAAAATAGCCTGCTATTTGGGAAATAATCCCGAAGTAACAAATCGCGTCTTCACTATCTCGAGATTCAACCTCGAAACTTGAAACTCGACCTTGAGAAATTAGCTCAAGATATTTTGCTCAACGTTAGCGTGTATTGCGAATCTTCGGTCTAGTGAAGACGCACGAGACAAATAGCTGGATATTTTGCCAAATAGTAGGATATTTTGCAAACTATCCCAAGATATCTTGGGATGACAATCCTGACCAAATATCCTTCTAATTGCTACTTCGGTCTGATGAGGACGCAAATTAACTGGATAGTTTGCGATCGGGATAGTTCAAATGGCTGGATATTTGGCAATCTCGAGATAGTGAAGACAGGCCTCATGGGAAGTTTGGAAATTTGATGTAAGTTTCAGTCACATTTTCTATGCTCAGCTCAATTGCTCATGTACAGTACAGGTACATACAGAAATCATATTGCTCATGATTGTGCCATACAAGATACAATGTACACTAAACAGTAACTCATTGTTTTGTATACAATGAACAATGTTTAGGTCACATGTGTTTATTGTGAATTAATAGGGACTTTTAGATTTGCGTGGACTGCTACGTGTGACATCCTTTTGAGGCACTGGCAGTCACACGTAGCAGTCCACGTTGTTGTCGTGCAAATCTAAAAGTCCCTATTGTACATGTAGGCCTATACATGTACATGTACATATACATGTACATGTACATCAATATCATAGGCCTCCCATACAGAAATTAATTTTATGGTTGTGAAATTGAATCAAAATAAAAGTTAGGCCTTTTTATGTAATTTATTGAGAGTGTTTATTACGGAGGGTACTACAGTTAATACTATCTGGATGTGTACATGCACAAATTGACTAATTAATTAAAACAAATAAAACATGTACCCGGTATACGTTATTATAGACCTCCAATATTTTAAATTTACTGGTTACAATCAAAATAAAAGTTAGGCATTTTTATGTAATGTACAATATTCAGTAATTGGCTCCAAAACATGCTGGAAAACCTACTGTATTCAGTATTCTACATGTGTGCACATAAAAGTACTCTACGTGTGGGCAGATGGGGATTTTTAATGATTAACTTGTTAACGTCACGGTTCAGAGAATGCATGATCCATGCTAATGCAGTATTTTCATGAAAAACAAATTACAATTCCCCCTTATTAGACTTTGTGCAGTCAGGACATTTCTTACAGCGTACAGTATGTAACTATTTATTAGAGTTTGCCAGCTGGGCAACCCAGTTGCCAAAATGAACTTAGGTTTGAACTGCACTCAACTCTCATGAAAATGAGACACTGTTTGTAACTTTGTATATTGAACATATTTCAATGGCCTTTGTTCCTCAATCTAAATCATGGGGGGCATCCTGTTTCAGTCAGAGTTATTAAAATGAAAGGGTCTGGGCCGCTATAGAAATATGTTTTGCACAGGGGGGTGGGGGGGGGGGAGGGGGTCCATGTTTGCATAAATTTTCAGGGTATTATGCATGAGGTACCTGTTAAACAGTTATCAAATGAGGGGTAGAGGGTTTGGTGAGGGGGGGGGGGGGGTAGGGGATCACAGGGTTCAACTTTCAATTGGGGGCTTTAGACTCAATCCAGAAAGTTGGAAAGGGTCCTTCTGACTTGCAGCCTCATTTTCCTTATAAATACACCACCAAGTATCGAGCCTTGCCATTGCTTTAGAAAACCCAGATTTTTTTTCCTTCTAAGAGCAGGGTAATTTCTACCCGCGGGGCATTGAGAGTTAATTCACATCCCTATCTCCTCAATCACAACCGTCACAGTGCAATAAAGAATCCCGTAATGTTTGGAGCGTGGCTAAGGACATCACAGCCTTGGTTTGAGCTAACCGAGCCATCCATCGCACGGCAGGCAGGCAGGCAGGAGACTGTTTTGATCTAAAATGGATGAAAATTACTCGGAAGGTGAAGTACCTTAATGGCTGCTGCCTCCTAGTCTCCAATTTGTAATCAATAATTGGTGAGGAGGTCAGAGCGGTTTGCTCGGGGCGTCCGTCC